ATTTTATATAATTATAATGTATAAGATTTATATATAATTTTTTAATAAGTGCATATAATAAAGTCAAATTTTTAGATTTTCCTAAATTATAAAATTATAACGAGTATTTGGTGGGATCACTAACAGTCATACAAACCTCTGTTTTCCGCGGTTCGCGATTGTAATCTTGTTGTTCAACAATCAATAATCAATAATATTTGTGTTGTCTCTAAAATCTCCTTTTCTGGTCATGTAGCAAATAAAACTGTAAAGACGTGTCACTCACTTTATTCAAAGTGAAAAAGAAAGATTTTCGGTGACCCTTACTACTTTCAAGTGTGGAACTTAGCTACGAATCAATGGAAGAACATCAGTTAAAAAAATTATGAGATGTGCCGTGATCAAACAATTGTCGTAGAAACGGGAGTGCATTCTGCATAAAGGTCCATAAATAATTGTCCTAAAAGAATATCAAGGACTTCCCACAACTAGAGCTAAAATGTTAGTTTGTTGATCAAAATAAAAGAGGAAAATAAAGGAAAGGAGAAGAAAGAGAGTGCATGGCGAGAAAACTAAATTGCAGAGTGGAAGCGTGATGCCGCCGCGAAAGCATGAAAGCGTAAAAAATAAAATAAAAGATGAAATAAAAAACAAAACTTAAAAGAAGCTAAAAAGATGAATTTGGGGCAAAGTGTAGTAAATTGAATTGCAGAAAACTAAATACATCGAGCGGAGATGTTCACAACGAAATAACAAAAATCAGAGTTAAAACTAATGGCAACATAGAGCTAAACACTAAATTAGAAAAACTGTTTAAGAAAGTTTGATTTAAACTAAAACATTGCTTGTAAAACTAAAATGTGGATAGCACTGGGCTAGTTGTGTGAGAGGTTGGTCTTATTTGCTTGATTTAATCATCGGGTTTTATAACACCTTGGCAGCATGGTGGGGATCTGCGGTAGCATTCTAAGAAACCAACAGCAACGTGATATCTGAAACAACCTGATTAATTTGCTGATGTTGTCGATTATTCTCCTAGAAGCTCACAACAAACGAACGGCTTTGCTGTTGTTATGGAAATAACCACTCAACCTTATCCATAGATATTTACTCCAACAACTTTCAACCAGTGAAATTCTTGCCAACATGGATGACACGTGGCACCATTCTATTTTTTTGCAAAAATGGGTGTAAACATATTGTCTAGCATTAAAAAAAAAAATACATGATTCCTATGCTTCGATTTAGTTGTTTAAACCCTAAGTTAGTACAAATTATTTTTTATGAGTTGCATGATTGAACCCTACAAATCTCTTTTTTCAATCTCTATTTACTTAATGTGTATTAATTTACTCTAGCTAAAAAAAAGTACATAATAGATTTTTTACTTGTTTTTTTTCACCAACAACTTAAATAGTTTAGTTATCATTTTCTTTCATTGGAAGTAAAAGATCTTGAATTCAAGCTGTATAACATGCGAGTGAGATGAGATAAGGGATAAGAAGTAGTTGCCTCCCATGTACAACTAAGATTAAAAAAAAAAAAAAAATCCTTGTTTTTTGCCCTTTTCCCTAATTTTGCAAGCTGAGAAACAAATGTCCCGTAAACCGATTGAAAGGCCCAACGATTTCCGGCTAAACGGGTTAGGGCCGAAATCTTGGAATTCGGCTAAAAACAGAATGAATTTGGATCTGGGCATTTTGGAAAACGGTGGTGCTGTTTGTGGTTGAATGTGACCATTTTGGGCCTGTGATCCGAAGTGGCAGGTGGGTCGCTCATTGACTCACTGTCACCCATATAATATTTTTCTTATATATATATTTTTTAAACAATTTGACATGAGGCGAGAGCGAACCCGACTAAGGGGAGAGGGTGCATCTATTCAACGTGGTTAATGTCACCAAACATAAAAGGTCGAATGCTAATATTTTTCTTATATCTATTTGTTTTTGTCTGTATTTTTGCATTCTGCTTAGGTTAAATGCTAAATTTGGTCCCTCAACTTTAGTGGTTTGCACATTTTTGGTCCCTTGAGAATTTTTT